CCAATAAGAAAACCTTTGTTAAACATTTTACTATCGAGAAATGATTCACACACTTCAAGTATTGAACTTTGTTAAAAAATGTCTATTTCTGAAGTTTACCACCATATGCTTCACTTTTGTAAGTAATGAGACCAGTAGGTGACACTCCAGTCAATATTTTAATAGTATGCCTCTTTTTGTAGTCAGAGTAATTTTTTAGACAACAAAGACATTTGGCTTGCTGTATTGGGATTTTGGTACACTCACACAAGTAGTAGTACTCTTACTTACATAGAGGCACATTATTTAATATTTCTTGTTTTGAAGGCCGAATTATACCATACTAAGAACTTCTACCAGTTTTATTAAAAACTGTTAAAAAATTTAACGATAAAAAGTTTCATTCACTCCAAATAAAATGAATAAGACATTATATCTTGCAACTTCATAAAAGTAAATATAACTTGATCCTTTACAGACATAACTGATCTCCTTTTTCCTATTCTTTAGAAACAACTCTGCTACTAATTCCACAATGGTGGCTAATAACTGGAAGGATTGCAATCCTATTAAAGCAGATAGTTCTTTAGCACTAACAATTCTGTTTGAAAACGGATTAACTAAATCACCACTCTTCACTTGTGTTGAACAATCGATCCCAATTTTCTGCTTTTAAACAAAGTTTTGTAAATTAAGCAAAGCTATTCAGCAGCACACAAATCTTCATTATCTGCTTCAGTAGTAGATATGTGTTCATTAACTGCAAAAACACATTAAACATAATAATAATAATTAACCAAATATTTTAAATTATGCATACGTACATCCATTGCCTGAAGAAGATAACTCAACACTTAACATTCTACTAGTACTGGCAACATATCATTATTAAAGACAGTAGCCATAATTCTTGTTTTAGCTGGATTACTTTTCTTTTTATTAATAGTCTCTTTCTTTTTACCACTAATCTGAGCTAACTTACATCGACTAAGCTTAGTTGTACGTTCTTTTTGTGATTGTAAGTCAGAATCTTTATTTCCCTCGGATCTTGACGTCAACTAAGATTGCACTTTGTACCTAGTCCATTTTACTATGATGTTGATCAGGTTTCCACTGGTGGAATTTTATTATTATTCATCAAATCATTCACATTCACCGCCAAAATAATCCTTAATTGTCTAAAGGGACAAACTTTAGAATGTGGAAAAGCTACTAACTTTAAATCTTTAAAAAGTTCATTCAATTTTTGCATAATATCTGCTTTTATAATGCGAAATAAATTTTAAAAGAATAATCAAGTGTCAGAATAGCGCCACTATACAGTAGTCTAAAGTTAGTTATGTACACACGAGTGTAAAATTGTTTATATCTATGTTCAAAATTGGTTAGATCTCTTAAAATGTTTTGAAAATTGGGAAACTAGACGTTACGACTCAAAATCCTTTTTTAAAATACCTAACGCAAGCTCCTGTCTTGAAATAAACATACAGATATTTTTAGCAATTTGGTCAGCTCAGTGGATGTTTTTGGACAATTTTCATGATATCGTGTTTTTTTAATCATGTTAAATAATAATTTGACCTTTTCTTTTTTATTTTCAATTAAGAAATTTGTACATTTTTCAACTTGAAAACAATCCTTGAATAGGGGTTGTGTAATAAAACAGCTCTGTCATTTTTATCCTCGATGTCCTTTACTTTTACTACTTTTATTACTGTTTCAGATTATGGACCTATAAAAAGCTCATTATAAAATAAAGTGTTTTCATGTAATTAGCTCGTTTTAATAGAGATTACAATTTTACACGGTATTTGTCAAAGAGATTATTATAGTATTTTTATTGATTAGTAACTAGACAAGAAGTTTTGTTCCATTTGTTAATTTTACCTTATTACGTCAAAAAACATTAAACTTGTTTGCTTGAAAATTAAACTTTTTTAACAAAATGGAGAAAAATAATCCAAAATTTAATATTGTTTCACGGTACAACAATTTTGTCGATTATCCTATATTTTTATATAAAAACTGCTTTTAACCCTAATTACTTATTCACCATCAAAAAAATCAAATTTATTGTTTTATAAAGCCGCCTTTTAACACGTTCCTGCTGGGGAAGTTTTAAACCGTATTGGTCACTGAACGTAGTATATATACAGCGTGAGTCGTGAGGAGCGCACCAAACTCTAGGAGTATATTATACACGTGAAAATAATGTAAAAAAATCCATATGTTCTTATCCGATTTTCATTTGTTTTCAAGTTATAGCATATTAACAAATAAACAAATTTACACATAAAAATTATCTTAATCATAGCGTTCGTTCAATAAATGTTCAAAAATACCGCCATTGAATTCTAAACATTTTCTGCTTCATCTACGAAGAGCGTTTGTTGCTATCCTAATTGATTCATTTCTTTCTTCTTTAATAATGGCTGCAGTATTCTCAATTCGTCTAATTATTGCATCCCGTGTGTCCACTTTTATTTTGTAGACTTCATTTTTCATCTAGCCCCATAAACAAAAATCTAATGGTGTGAGGTCTGGAGATCTTGCAGGCCAATTAATAGGACCTCCATGACCAATCCAACGCCCTGGAAAACGTTCGTCCAAATGTTGCTTGACCTGATGAGCGACATGTGCAGGAGCTGCATCGTGCTGATAGTACATCTGCATTCTAATATTTACAGGAACATCCTCTAGCAGGCCTTGTAATTCATTTTGTAAAAAATTGAGGTAGTTGTCTTCTGTGAGAAGATTCTCCAAAATGAAAGGGCCAATTAAATAACTGTCAACCATACCACACCACACGTTTACAGAAAACCGATGTTGAAAATTTCTTTTGACTGTTGCGTGGGGATTTTCGTCTGACCATACATGATAGTTACGAGTATTATTAATGCCATCACGGGTAAATGTAGCTTCATCCGTAAAGAGTATACTCGATACAACACGATGATTATTATTTATCCACCGACAAAACTCCATACGGTTAGCGTAATCCTGTGGTTGTAAGTGCTGTACTCTCTGTACGTGATAAGGATATAAGCCTTGCGCGTGGAGTGTGTTTATCACTCTTTTTTGTGGAATTCCCAATTGAATGGCAATTCTCCGCGAGCTAGTAGTTGCATCTTCTTCTACTAGATGCAGAATATTTTCTACTTCTACAAAACCTTGTCGAGTATCGCGTTCAGATGTTATGAAAGCACTGGGAAGCTTACCAGTCTCGCACAATTTGTTGAAAACTCTAATAAATACGTTTTTATCAGGATGTCTTCGGTGTGGAAAACGTTGACGATATTCTTCAGCTGTAGCATTTCCATTACAGAAACCATAAACAAACACCATATTTGCATATTCTAAATTTGAATAAGTATCTGGCATTTTGCAACACTATCAATCACATAAATTCGAAATTAAACGTTCAGTTACTGTTCACTGTACACTGACAGTTCATCAAAACGTCAGAAATATCAAATGCCTTTGAGCCTTGAACATATGGCATACTTTGATAATGTTAAAATTCAGAAGTGGAAAGATGAACATTTTTAATTACGCCATAACTTGAAAACAAATGAAAATCGGATAAGAACATATGAGTTTTTTTACATTATTTTCACGTGTATAATATACTCCTAGAGTTTGGTTCGCTTCTCCCGACTCACCCTGTATATACTAATTTGAAAAATCACGTAATGACGAACACTATATCTTTTATTATTTGGTAAAAAAATGAGCATTTATATACCTCTATCACAAAAATTTACCTTTAGCCCAATCGGATTAGTATTTTAGATTCTGAAAAATTCGAAGCAGCAATTTTCCTTCGGAATTCGTTGAAGGGGGTCTCTGGTAGTCTAAATTCAAAAAGTTGGGATTCCAAAGTTGTCGTTACCTCCGCCATCTTGATTTAAAGGGTTATTTTTTGTATCTTGAATAACTCATTTATTTTCAATTTTACACGGAAAATAGTTTTTACAAAAGTTATTTAAAATTAAATTTCCTACAATTCTGCTTTTTTTTTTGTACGATCGATTTTTTTCGATTTATACCCGAAAAGAGGGGGTGAATTTTTGTTTATAGAATAACTCGTTTATTTTCAATTTTACGAGAAAAATTGTTATAAACAAAGTTGTTTAAAATTAAATTTCCTACAATTCTGTTTTTTTTTTTGTACGATCGATTTTTTTGTATTTATCCCTGAGAAGAGTGGGGGTGAACCTAAGTATTGTATTGTCACGTTTATTATTGATGTTGTACCATTATTTTTTCTGTTTGTTTTTTTTGCTGATTTTCAAAAATGTTATTTGGTACAATTAAAAAGAAACGTGATAATACAATGATAAGAGTTTACCCCCACTCTTCTCAGGGATAAATACAAAAAAATCGAGCGTACAAAAAAAAACAGAATTGTAGGAAATTTAATTTTAAACAACTTTGTTTATAACAATTTTTCTCGTAAAATTGAAAATAAACGAGTTATTCTATAACCAAAAATTCACCCCCTCTTTTCGGGTATAAATCGAAAAAAATCGATCGTACAAAAAAAGCAGAATTGTAGGAAATTTAATTTTAAATAACTTTTGTAAAAACTATTTTCCGTGTAAAATTGAAAATAAATGAGTTATTCAAGATACAAAAAATAACCCTTTAAATCAAGCTGGCGGAGGTAACGACAACTTTGGAATCCCAACTTTTTGAGTTTAGACTACCACAGACCCCCTCCAACGAATTCCGAAGGAAAATTGCTGCTTCGAATTTTTCAGAATCTCAAGCCTGTTCTTCACCTAATCCGATTGGGCTACTTGTTTCTTTTCATTTTACCATATAAGATAGCGACCAACTGGTGGCCGTACAGGAATATTCTTGTTACCTGTGGGTTACGAGTTGTTTACCTTACAATATTAGTAACGTCCCAGTAAGTGCCAGAGCGAGCTGCGTATTACACTGATTATAACCTAGAAGTTTATTTACCTTGTATGCGATAAAAAAGATAGATTTTTCGTTCGTAAAACTGTACAAAAATGAACCCCAAAAAATTGTATGGAAAAAAAATACAAATGTAAGTAGCCAAAGTATTTCTGATGCTCCAAGTACATCAAATAAACTCACGCAATTTGAATTGCGGGAGAAACAAAAACAGCTATAGTACAACGAAGATAGTGATGAAGAACAACAAGTAGATGACTCGGATTTAGACCCTGATTACAGTGATAGCGAGATTGAATCAATTTAAGATAAAGGCGAGAACAGCCATCAAATTTTTGATGACTCAAATATCATCGTGTGCAGAATTCCATAATGATGCGAGACTTCTTGTAGACGTTCTTGTAGACGTTCTTGTAGACGTTCTTGTAGACGTTCTTGTAGATTTTCTTGTAGACTTAGAACAACCCTTTGCAATTTTTAAGATGTTTCTTTCAAATGCTTTCAATGCTTAGACAACAACAGACAAACTCCAAAAAGAAAAAAGATTGAATGGAAACCCACCAATCATTTCAAAATGGAAAAATTTCTGGGAATTATGTTGGTTATGGGAGTTGTGAATGATATAAGACTTTATTGGTAAAAAAAAAATAAATGTATTCGACTGCACTGATAAAAGAAACTATGAGCAGAGATCGCTTTTTGGATTTGACAAAATATTGGCATTTCAGTGATAACGAAAGTGCCGATCTAGGGGATCGTATTAATAAGATTCGAAACTTGTTGGATAATTATAACAAAAATTTCCAAATAGTGTTAAATTTAGGAAGATAGATAGATAGATAGATAGATAGATAGATAGATAGATAGATAGATAGATAGATAGATAGATAGATAGATAGATAGATAGATAGATAGATAGATAGATAGATAGATAGATAGATAGATAGATAGATAGATAGATAGATAGATAGATAGATAGATAGATAGATAGATAGATAGATAGATAGATAGATAGATAGATAGATAGATAGATAGATAGATAGATAGATAGATAGATAGATAGATAGATAGATAGATAGATAGATAGATAGATAGAAAGATAGATAGATAGATAGATAGATAGATAGATAGATAGATAGATAGATAGATAGATAGATAGATAGATAGATAGATAGATAGATAGATAGATAGATAGATAGATAGATAGATAGATAGATAGATAGATAGATAGATAGATAGATAGATAGACAGATAGATAGATAGATAGATAGAAGTTTATTCACAGAATATTAAAATTTACAAATAAATACAGAATGCTACAAAAATTATTTATAAATATTACTAAACTAGTTATTTCATAAGCCTAAGCTTGATTGCAAAAATAAACTTATATTGTAATATATTGTTTTGTTTACATCAGTACCTTAGGTGTACATAAAATGCCCAAGTACTATTTAATATAAACACGTTATTCGAAAAGAAAAAATACAAAAATTAAGGAAAAAAAAATAAACATTTGAAAGATTTAAAAATTATTAAAAAGATTAAAAAATATTAAAAAAAAATATTAAAAAATATTAAAAAATATTAAAAAATATTAAAAAATAATAAAAAATATTAAAAAATATTAAAAAATATTAAAAAATATTAAAAAATATTAAAAAATATTAAAAAATATTAAAAAATAATAAAAAATATTAAAAAATATTAAAAAATATTAAAAAATATTAAAAAATATTTAAAAATATTAAAAAATATTAAAAAATATTAAAAAATAATAAAAAATATTAAAAAATATTAAAAAATATTAAAAAATATTAAAAAATATTAAAAAATATTAAAAAATATTAAAAAATATTAAAAAATATTAAAAAATATTAAAAAATATTAAAAAATATTAAAAAATATTAAAAAATATTAAAAAATATTAAAAAATATTAAAAAATATTAAAAAATATTAAAAAATATTAAAAAATATTAAAAAATATTAAAAAATATTAAAAAATATTAAAAAATATTAAAAAATATTAAAAAATATTAAAAAATATTAAAAAATATTAAAAAATATTAAAAAATATTAAAAAATATTAAAAAATATTAAAAAATATTAAAAAATATTAAAAAATATTAAAAAATATTAAAAAATATTAAAAAATATTAAAAAATATTAAAAAATATTAAAAAATATTAAAAAATATTAAAAAATATTAAAAAATATTAAAAAATATTAAAAAATATTAAAAAATATTAAAAAATATTAAAAAATATTAAAAGATATTAAAAAATATTAAAAAATATTAAAAGGATATTTATTTTGATGTTTAAATCTAAAACAGGATGTCTGTCTACAGAAGATAGGACACTAAGTATTACTTGACAGTATCCATTTCCTATAGATTCTGTCTTTAATTTTAATTTATATTAGACATATTTTATTTGATGATTTCCACCCCATTTCCTTTTTGTTTTTTTTTTATTTATTTATTGTTTTTTTTTTGTTTCACTTTTTTTGGTTTTTGTTTTTTTTTTGTTGTTTTTTTTTATAAAATTAAAAAGTTATAAAATATTTAATGTATTTGTTAGGAGCCATTTTGTTAAACATTTTTTAAATTTTTTTTTTTATCTTTTGTTTTAGGTCTTGTGAAAGTGCATTATATACTTTTAACCCTATATAATTAAAGGTCCTTTGCGCTAATGATGTTCGACATTTAGGTAATATAATATTGTTGCCTATATAATGTCTGGTATTGTGTTGTCGGGGATTGTTACAGAATTTGTTGGTTTTAATTAGCTGAATAAGGGCTTGTTTATAGTAAAGATCTGTTATTTTTAGGGTTTTAAAATTATTGAACAGTTTTTCCGTTGGGAAGTACCAATCTAATTTGAAAATTAACTTTAATATTCTTTTTTGCAGAATTTCTAGGGGTTTTAAAGTGGTTCCATATACACCTCCCCAACCAATTATTCCATAAGTTAATATTGACTGAACTAGTGAATAGTAAATGCTGATTAATTGGTGTTCTTCCAATATCTTTGAGAGAATTTTGAACATGTACAAAAGAGATTGTAACGGTTTTAATCGAACGTTATGCCTTATCGCCTATTTCTGTCTCAAAACTAGCAGAGAATTAACTTATAATCTAGAAATTACCTTGAATATGCTCCTGTCGTAGAACTTCATTAGATTTTCGAGAAAACACAGCTTTATTCAGGTGGGATTTAGCGTAACTGGTGTAAATGTTCCTTCTTAGGGCTCACATAATTTTTACAAGGTTACACTTAATTTTACTATGGTTTTCAGCAGTAGTTTTCACTCTTAAAATATTGTTTACAATAACCTCTGTATTTTGTTGATTTTATTCAAAAGGAATTTAGCGTAACTGGGGTAAATGTTCCTCCTTAGGGCTCACATAATTTTTACAAGGTTACACTGAAATTCACTATGATTCTCAATAAAACTGTTTACTTGTAGAAGTGTTGTTTACAATGTTTTTGTTATTTTGTAGGTTAAAACTGATGTCGGATGTCATTTAATTTCATGAATTATGCCTGTCGCATTTCGAGATGTCTATCGTTGTTCGATAAGTGATTCTTAGGTAATACCTCTCTCTCTCTGCTTGACGGAGGACAAGGGACGTCATATGTCTGATTTCGATTCATACGCCAGTGATTCATGAACTAAGGAGTGCTCGTTTAAGCGGTGGTTGCTTTTCATGGGCATATTTTTGGGTTTTCTTATTGGTCGAGCAGTGTTAACAGAGCTGTCAGCCTGAATGCGAATGGTCGTATTCTAGTAGTTGAAGGAGGTCATTGGTCGCACAGTATAACCAACAATAATTTCTAGAGATCGGACAGTGGCGATTGGTTTAAATGGATTTTCTTTGAAATGATTCTGCGCAGTCGAGGTTTTATGCTAGGGGGCGAAGAACGGCGTAATTTGTAACACGTGGCAGCTTCGTCTTTCTTTTCCAACAAGGAATGTTAATGGAGGTGTTGAACTGAAAATTCGCTAAGAGACTTTTTACTTTTTTATGTGATTTTGTATATCATCCCGCGTGGGGAGTCTAGTAAAAGTGTCTCTATTTTATGGGAAGCATTGATGGTACGTTTTGAAGTTGGTTAACGCGAAGTTAGACCGGTATTTTTTATGTGATTGTGTGCCGGCTTTCCCATCTCATCTTGAGGAGTATTGAATATTGAAGTTCAACCCATCCGTCGTCCTGTAGCAGTTTGATGGTTGGAGACCGATCGTAATTGGGTTATATATTGAAGGGAGAATTGGTCTTTAAGAAGTTCTACGCAGATTTCATTTCCTGTTTGATTCGAAGTTACACCCTCCGGAACAGAGGTTGGTTTTATTCTTTTTGTTTTATTTGATAAATTGTAAATATTGCTACCCATTCATTTTAATAACAGATTCTTTCAGATTTTAAGGGGGTTGAATATGGGGAACAGGTTATACTGTATAGTTTTACTGGTTCATTTTTTTTTATTGGGCACTTTTGATGCTTTGCTTGAATAATTTCAACCCTCTGGGAGGTTCAATTAATTCACATTAATTTTCAAGAGATAAAGGGGCGGGATCAATTTAGGTTATCAGATTGTAATTAGGATTGTACATTTTAGGGTGCTTGGTACCGGTGTTGCTTGGTACCGGTGTTGCTTGGTACCGGTGTTGCCTGCTACTGTTGCTGGGCACAGTGCAGCTGTATGGTAGTGAAGATACTGCCTAATACTAGCGTTTTCCTGACTGGTATTGATTATGTACTTCCTCTTTAACGAAGAACAGCCATTTTGGGGTTCGAACACCTCATCTACTTTTCTAGAACATCAGAGATTTGGTATCATAGGACTACATGCCACAGGCGGCAACGCTAGCCTTGAGTAGCACGGATCAGGAGATAAGTGGAAATTATGCATTTATTTTTCTATCATTTCAGTTATAATTTGGGGTTTATTATTTAGTCTACCACTGATACGTATATGTATACAGTTTTCTTTATGAATTTATTTGATTAAATAACGTTGTGTTCATATGCTATTAAAGGCCCTCATTGCCTATGTTTCATGGTTAGTTCATATATCATAATTCATAGTGTTTTATAATAAGAGTATGTTTCACATTGTTTAGTG